TCAGTAACTATTTGATTTTCTAACAGCTTCTCTGTGACATTGATGAAGTATTCATTGAAAAGAATACTTATTTCCTCTGGGTCTTCGATGATTTTGTCGTCAACTTTTAGCTTATTAATTTCAAGATTGTTTTGTTTTCTATTCATTATACCGTTTATTATTTTCCATTTTTGTTTGGAGCAACTCTTTGCCTCTTCAAATTTTTGTTGAAAATAATTTTTTTCTGCCTTTCTCTTTACTGATGTAAAGTAATTTCTAAACTTTTTATATTTTTCAACATTAGCGGAGTTTGGTGCAGCGACTGCTATTTTATACAGTCGATTCTGTTTTTTTGATAATTTTATTATTTCATCAGATACCCATGCTTTTTTATATTTTTGTTTCTGCCACTGCAGAGGTGCGTATGTGTCAAGAGTTTTATTGAGTATATTGTAGAAATTCAGGCATGCTGTATCTATATTATTCTCGTTTTTAACTGAATGCCAATTTTGAAGTGAGAGGGCTTTTTTTATAAAGAAAATGGATGTTTTATTAATTTTTCTAGATAAAATTTGGTCATCAAAGATAGCAGTTTTAAAATTTTCTAGTATTGCATAAACTGGAAAATGGTCAGAAAAGTCTGATACTATGACTCCACTTTCGCAATGTTGATACAGGTTCGTAAATATGTTGTCGATTAATGAATTGGCGTTACAAGTTACTCTTGTTGGTAAATTAATTAAAGGCGAGAAACAAAATGAAAATAGTAGATTTTGAAAGTCTTTAGAATCATTTGAATCATTGTCCAATAAATTAACATTAAAGTCGCCCACTATAACAGTTTTGTCGGCGGATTTGATAGCGTGTAAAATCAAATTGATTTTATTTAAAAAAGGCTCAAATTTATAATTGGGTGGGCGGTATATCGCGATAACTTTTAGCACACCCCTAGGTGAAGCATGCCCCGATTCAATGTCCACACAGAGAACGTCGACATTTTCATCATCAAATGCACTGTTATCATTTACAACATATTTGATGTCATGCTTTATGAACACACCAACACCTCCGCCTCGTTTGCTTTTTCTATTTTTATATACAAAATTGTAATTATTTAACTTAATTAAATCAACTGTTTCATTGTTCAACCACGTTTCTGATATTACTATAATTTTGAAAAAGTCGTCGAATTGTTTTAAGAAGATTTCTAGATTTAATAATTTATGAAACAAACTTCGAGCATTCAGATGAATGATTGGTAGGTGATTGTTTTTCATTTTATTCTTCAATTTTATTATGTTAGATAATTCTTTTACAGTGTAATATTTTGATTCTTCGAGATTCTCTTCTATGAAGTTTTTATTCATTGCTATTTTTAGTTGAAACAACATTTCAAACAACAATATATATATATATATATATATATATATATATATATATATATATATATATATATATATATATATTATATCCATGGGCTGGAAGGAGACAATAATTGATGCAATATTTGATAAAATCTTCTAAATTTTGAGCTTTTGAAAGTTTACGATTGAGCTTTTCAATATTTCTAACAGTAATTTTGTCACGCCAATATATGTGTGGCTGAGAGTGCATCCGTCAAGAGGGCATTTAAACTCATATATTAGGTGATTTCTTTCCAGGGCTGAATTTTGGGGAGGCGTGCAATTGTACTTTATTATCAAGTTTGGCGTTTTTGCATTTTGATAATAAATTCTCAGGCTACTCTATCGTCTGTATTATTAAACTTCACATTTTTGAAAATAATTTTCTTTTGAAAAAATTCGTATGTTTTAAATGCAGATGACGTGTAGTTTCTGTAGTAGAATATAATTTTCTAACAGGCCTAGTATCTCACGGTATTGACACTCAAGATTGTGAACCCATCAGACAAGTTCCATGACGCCTTCCACTGTCAAAGCAGGTGGAAGCCGATGAGATGATTTCCACGATGCAAAAGTAAGGCGTGATCGAACCATCGACAAGTCCCTTGACATCTCCAGTCGTCCTAGTCAAGAAGAAGGATGGTAGTAATCGCTTTTGCGTAGACCACAAAAATTCATAAATTAACTAACACACGATACCGCTCGTGTAATCACATTTGAAGTTCTAGTCTCTATAATTTAAACAAGGGAAAAAACAAATTTGTTTAGATTTAAAATAAGCCACTAATCTACAAACAATACCCGCGGACAGCATATAAAATGGAGTTAACGGGCCACGGTTGGCTCATCTCTGATTTACGGACAAACATCTCGGTAAAGCAAGAATTTAATTTAATTGAATAATTATCATTAAGTGTAAATAAAAAAAATTAATCAATGTTAAAATAATGAAACTAAATCCATTTTAAAATACTTTTTCTAGAGGCATGTTAAAACCGACAACATGCTTTTTATTTCCTGTAAAATTTCCAAGTTGTCTGAAATGATTAAGTAAAGTGTCATAAGCTCCTCCCACAACGAGGACGTCAAGTTTCTTTTTGTAATTTCTAGAAATTTGAAACACTATCCCGGAGTAAATGTTCAAATTGTTGCACAACTTAAGTGACACAATTATCTAAAAAAATATGCTTTAATGATTCATTCAAATTTTTCATTTCTATTCCGAAAATACCTTGAATTTGAAATTACATGACTCCAAGAGTGTTATTAATTTGGTCAGATAATTCAATGCACCTTTTACGAGACGAGCTTCCTGCAAATGTTGATGGCAATACGTAAAATAATCAAATTAAAAAAAATACTAATTGTTTATCTGCGTAACCACTCCAGCCATGCATGGCACACAAATGAAAAGATGTGTTAAAGTCAAACAACTTTCAGTTTTAGTGCTAGAATCAAAATGTGAAAGACAAGATTTTTCTAGATTTTAAGGGGGTGTTTTGAGCCTCAATAGAAATTTAAAAATACATTTTGGTAACAAAAAACACATATTTAATTTTCTTACATCTGTTTTAACTTTCGTAATGCATTTGAGAAAACTTGACATTTCATTTATTGTGCCCTCACGATCGATAAAAGAAAGAAAGTTGTTGACGACATCTTCTTTCAGTCCAATGTTCAGCAGTCTGTTGACGACGTTTGTCTTCTGCTGTTCCATGTTCTTAATTTTATAACATTATTAAGTTAAGTAATTCAACTCTCATACTTAACACACAAAGTGCCAAACCTTATATTCATAAAGAATGAGAAATATTGATTGATGAACTTCTTTATCGATGTTACAGTACGACATTATCGCAGAAATTATACTATAATGATTAATTTTCAACTTAAAATCTTTATCACAAAGACTGGGAAAATTATGAAGAACATCTTGAGCGAGTAATAAGATCTCAGTATCTGTGTAAACGCTGTTAAACGATGATGATGTAACCATGTCAAATGAAACCTCCCACACTTCAAACGGATGAACTCCGGAATCCAAGTTTTCTCTGAAAACTTTGCTAATTGAATACCTTTTTAAAGTTTTGATATTTTGCTTCTCGACAAAACGGGCGAAAGAAATCTGAAACCAAATTAAAGTTATGTGACTATGATGGTAACGTTTAAATTATTAAATTATTCTTGTAGTAAATATTTCTCATTAAACATTCAAAAGTCATGAATGCTACTTCAAATGCTGGTAAGTGACACACGTTGCAAATTGACTACATGAACAATTAAACCCAAAAATTGTGGTACTGACAAGGAAAAAAGCTTGACAGCGAAATTTTGACAAATTTTCGTAAACTCCAATTTAACCATACTTTTTGAAAAAAATTTTGTATGTTAGTAAAACTGCATCGTAAATTAACAACAGAAAAAATTAGCATACAATATTACTTAAAGTGGAAAATAACTGGAATTGAACCAACTTTAGAATCAAATGGAAGTGTGACAAGTCCTCCAGATTTGTTCATAAGTTGCACAACAGGAGCTGACTCGGGATATAATTTATGGCCGGGCATGAGAAGTGGAACTTCAACATTCAATCCTCCGTACTTCGTAAAAATCTTCTTTAATGTTTTTATAGTAAGATCACGCAACCGATTTTGTTCAAGAACATTCAACTGATTTTTACCCTAAACGTGAAGAATTTGAATATATGTCCATTAATAAATAAATAGTAAATTTTAAGCCAAATTCAAAAGTTCAATTAAGTTATTCTCACAAAGATCGATTGTGATTTGCTAAAAAAATACCTTGCTGAAATGGTAATCATAGGCATATTCTGTTGCAGTTGACGTGCTTTGTGAGAAAATGGTTTGTATAAGATTTTTATGAGCATGGCTGTTCACATTTTTAATGGCTGAAACTATAGCTCTGTCAATGGCTTGCTCCTCACATGGAAGCACTGGAAAGTGTTCACTGGATAGAAGGTCTCTGGCAGTGGGCCGATTCTTGGCGTTGTGATCCAACAACCATTTAATAATTCTTATCTGTAAGGATGAACGTCATTAAGCACATAGAAAAAACTAAATTGTTACTTACAGTTATTGAGAATGTTAGAATCGAATTTAATATAAAAACAATGACCAGAAAGAGAAGATGGAATTGAGTTGAAAAATAAAAATAGATCCATATCTAAAAACAAGCAAATTATTCTACTTAATTATAAAACTGTCAGTCTTTCAAGAAAAGATCACGAAAGAACGTTAGAGCCATGTCTAAGATACAGGTAAAAGCGGACTGACCTCTCAACAACTTCATGCTGCGTCCAAAGAGTAGCGTGAAACGCAAATAGTTGGAAGAAAACGAAAAATGTTTTGTCAAAACACTTTCCACTCTGATCGTTGACGGAGTAACAGTAAGGTGTCTGAAGCTAAGTAGATCAATATCAGGCAAATCATCAGAGAGCCACAGGATGTCTGCAAGTTTTGCAGACATCCTGTGGCTTACAAGTAGCGGTTCATGAAATTGGAGCTTGTTCATAAAACAGAATGTTTGTCCGGGCGAAACTTAAGTTAAAATAGAAGATTTAAAATAAATTAAAACTAGATGGAAGGACCGCTGAGGTTTTCAAATGATGCTTTTAGGAGATTTTGAGGAAAAATCAAGATGCAGAAGATAAAAAAGACTCTAAAACTATTTCGAGGAAAAAAGCTGAGACGAGAGTGATTATAATGATGAATTCCTGTTTCCAAGCTTTTCTATTTAATAGTTTTATAGTTTTCTATTTTACAATTCCCAATCTATACTTCATAATGATAAGTAAACTTTAGAGACAGGAGTAACAATGGCAAAAATGATGTAACGTGTAAGGAGTTGATAAGTTAGTATAATTTTGGGTTGTGTAGTCCTTGGCAAACAAACAAAAGAAAAAAGACAGACTTTACGATGAAATAGATGAAATGACAGCTTGGACAACAAAAATAAATTAATGGGTCCAAAAGATAGGAACGGACACGTGTGAAGAAAAAAATGAATAACAGGAAGGATTATAAAATGGATCCTTTTCAATACCTCTACGTTGCCAAAACATTGAAATCTGAAAGGCTAAACTGAGTATTTGCATCAGAAAATTAGGTACACAGTATGAAATGGTGAGGTTAATGTTTTTAAACATTACCAAGTTAATGATGACAAATGAGAAGTAACCTGTGACGTTTGCATGATTGAGTCAACATCCAGCGGCAAAGTGATTGATGATTGTCGAAGCTGTGATAATACTTTCGATCGTTCCATACTTGTTTGCAACGGTTTGTAGCTCATTTCAAAAAAAATTATTCCCAAACTATAAAGGTCAACCTTCTGTGGATAAAAAAATTGTTGAATGCAAATTTAAATGATATTAATCAAATTGTATACAATTTTGTACTGAGATATGCTTTAAAATATGTTTATTAAAATTAAAATTTCAAGAATTAAGATTTGTTTTAAAAATATTAAAACGTATTCAACGATAAAATGTTCATTATCATTTCATTTGGCTTCTTTTAATCATTATTTATATTGGCTTTTACTACGGTAATAGGAAGGACACTTGCTAAACTTTCAACTTTTCTTTTGACCTTTTGCTGCTTGTTGCATTAACATTTATGTAGTCAGCATTCATTACTTTTAGAAAAGCAAGACTTTTATATCTTAACGCATGAAATAATTATACCAAACAAAAGAAGATTCTAACAATAAACTATAAAAAGATGACCAAAAAAATTACTATTTAATGCAAATATCGATTGCTTATACAATCTTCTATTTTTTCTACTGTTCTTGATTCCTCATAAATACATATTCAAGCGCTCACAAAATACCTCACGCTTTACGTGGCTCTGTAATCATTTTTGTCTTTCCTTCTTGTCTTAGAATAGGGCAGGAACTTATGGCGATGCTGCTTAAAACACTCCTCAAAACATCCTGACAAGCACCTGTGGATTTCATTTAACTTTAATTCCAAAATCTTATCCTCCTCTTTCTTCCCTCTCTTTTGTTCCTTATTATATAGCTCTGACATACGCAGAACCACTTAAATACCATCCCTGTATTTAAAACTTCGTAATATCCACCCCAAACGACGTATATGCACATTATGTAAGCACAAGCAAGCACCGCATCATACGCGCATGGTGTGTTTGAGTTTCGGACCGACAGTATTCGAACCAGGCCATCGAGACATTGCCCTTCAACCGATTGAGCAAACTCACCGACCAAATGCTTTGCGGAGCATATCCTGTTATTACATTTAACAACCGTGGATTCTGCATGTTAACGTGTGTTTGTAAACGCCCTTTAAAAAATCTCAGAGGCGCTAGCGATTATTGCAGTTCATTGCGTAGCACTTTACTAAGGCAATGCAATGAATGGAGAAAAAAACATTAACACGGGTAAGCTTGAACAAAAAGGCGGTGTTTTAATCTTCTACGACATTGAATAACAGACAACGCAGGCTCACAAACGCCCCTAGGCAAACCATTCCAGACAGTAGGACCTATTACAGAAAAATTCCTTTGACCAAAAGCCAAGTTTGTGTCAGTTACAAACAGTAAACCTGGATTGTCAGAGCGCAATGTTTGACTCAGAAGTGGCTTTGTTCTGGGAATGACTCTGTCAGTTAAATATTTAGGGGCGACTCCCTTAATAACCGTTAAGCATATCTTGAAAATAACTACTTGATAAACCGGAAGCCAGTGAAGAGCAAAAAAAATTGGCTTAACGAGGTTGTATTTAAGGCCACCTAAAACCAACCTTGTAGCCCAATTTTGAACCGACTGCAGTCTAGCCATATTTACACCAGACGGGCCGTAATATAGACTAAAAAGGAATGAACAAGACATTGAAGAATGTGCTTGTTTAAAGATCGTTTGATGAGCCGAAGCCTACGCAATTGTCCAGAGCATTGTTTTGAAACTGCCTTAATATCAACGTTAAAAAACATGTTATTATCAAAAACAAACCACAGGTTGCGGCAGATGTGCAAAATTTTATGTCAGAATCACCAGGTCTGATAGACTCAATGTTAATTTTTTCCAACTACTGCCTAGTGCCAACCGGTAAAAACTGAGTTTTTGATTGATTCGATTTAAGCCTACTTGCCATTATCCACTAATTAATTTCCGAGAGACATGATCTGCGTCTACAGACCAGATCATCAAATCGACAAAAGGGGGCACTAGCAGTTATCTGAATATCATCAGCAAAACCGTGATGTTTGAAATTGCTTGCCTTATTTCTGAAAGGCTCACAAGCCCTGTCAACGTCGTGATGTCCCTGAGAGATTCGCTTGATGTCGACCTGAGTGACCTGATGCTTCTCACTCCTGCCGTGTAGATCTCCCGATACTCGAATATTTCGGGAAATCTCATAAAATTTATTTGTGCATAATCACGCTAGGTTTAGGATTTCATAAAACTAGATTGTCAGGTAAAGATCCTACCATTACTCCAACTCACCCTTCCCACTTTTGGAGAGGCTTGGACTGGCGTGTATGAAAGAAAAAATTAATCTTTCATTCTGGGTGGCATGCTTCTATTTTCTAACAACAGCATTCATACATGGCGGGCAAAAAATAGTCATAGATAAAATTCCACAATACAAGCAGAAATGGAAAGATGTTATGAAGACGTCATTGGACAGATACGCAGGAAGAACGCAGACCTGATATTAACAACCTATGTAGTAACAGGGCTGTCTCAAAACTAAAAATAAACTTCATTACCCTATCGCTCACCAGGATCGTCTAATTTTTTTAATGTTTTAGTAATAATTATCCGCAACGTAAAAAACGCTAAAAAACAAGCTACATAAAAGTTTTACATTAACAACTTCAACAATAACATTTGATAAAATATTGAAAAAGATACTTGATTGTAAGTTTGTTTCTTTTTATGATCCAGTATTTCGGGGCTGACATAAAGAGCAGTGCCAATGTTGCTTGTTAATGAATTATCACAATCAATACGACTTGCTTTGCCAGACGTTGGCTGAAGATGACCCTTCAAAATATTAAATGACGCATAATATAGAATACAACTAAGAATAAAAAAATCGTATCAATCTAAAGACAATTTAAAACTTTGGGTAAACTAAGACAGATTTGGACAAACTAAATTGACAAAAAACAGATATAATGGAGGTAAACTTATATTCCCACTTCATCAGAGGCTACTGTGGCCAGTCCGAAATCTCCAATCTTCACATGACAGTTGGAATCCAAAAATATATTGACTGGCTTCAAATCTCGATGTATTATACCCTTAGATAAACATATTATGGCAAATACAAAGCTTATACAAAAAAAATATTACATTCAAATTATGCCGCCCAATTATGCATATAAACAAATAAGCTTTAATTGTTTGCAGTGATAAGCCAAATGAAAGCAACCTGATCATGAATATGAATGAGTCCTTCGATTATCTCTCTAAACAATTTCCAGACCATGCTCAAGTCTTTATAAAGACCACCGTCAATGACATCTTTCAATGTATTTTTCTCACAAAATTCCATCTGAAAAAAAAGCGGTAATTTATCGTAACAATATTTGTAATGTCTTTTTTATAAAAAAAATCAGAGCAATTTAAATAAAAAAAAACTATGTTTTTGGGTATATTAGTCATTTTATGTTGTTAGGTTTTCTGTGGCTGGGTTGTTTGACACGTTTGATAATATGCAGTTTTTGGATTGGGACAAATGGGTATCTTGTTTGCTTATAAAGATTGATTTCTCGAGTGTGAATGTCACAATAAATTGTTACAATAAATTTTTGCAGAATAAAACGCAAAAACGAACAAAAAAAATAAATTACTATTTCTGAACCTGGATGTAAAGAAACTGCAGCTTCAAAGTTCTTGATCGTCTGCGTTTGTTGTCAGGAATCTAATTTTTATGTTGAATTAAAAATTTATTATAAAATTTAATATAAATTCGAAGTACAAACAGGGGAGTCATCGGGCTGAGAACTCGTTTCGTCATCGTTGTTTTCACTTCCTATAAACAGTACCGACTCACTGTCATCTTCGTGACTGAAGAATCATGTTAGTGTAATTTATAATTAATTTGATCAAGAACCGATATTTAAACGAATTATGACTTACGTATTCAATTGTGGGGCGTTATTATTTTGGTTTTCGATACTAGTTTCGTTTTCGGCATTATCTTCGTCGGAAGAATCTTCATCGTCATCTTCTTCGTCTTCAAACGTTTCTGAAAAGACGCCCCAGTCCGGTATTTTTTCGTTCTGACTAGTTTGCTTTGTTTCGCAGTTAACATCCTTAAATGAAGTTTCCATCCACGAGTTATAATACCTTTGAAACCAAGGTTTAAAAGATATCTATTTAAATGATGACGAATATTTGAAAATTCAACACTTCAAAATTTACGTAAAAAATGAATGTTGAAAACAAATTTTTAATAAGATTGTTCATCACGATCACCTTACAACATTTTCATGATTCAGCCTCGAAAGTAATTTAATCTCCCTGATGATTTTTCTCGTTACATTCATGTTGTGCGAGGTCAGTGGTATCCGCTTGATGGCGTAGAAACGTCCATCCAACCTGTTTTGTACCTGTGGTTCAAGCGAATCAAGTTCCAACAAATGACGGCGAAAACTATAAAAAAATAGTGGAAGTTTATCATTCAAAAACATTTTTTCAATTTAATTAGTTTCGCCAAACCTGGCTACAAGTCCGTTGCCTTAAGCAACAGATTTTGTATCAATTTTAATCACACCGATCAACAATTAAAACAAATTTAAAACCTATTATTTTTCTAAAGATCTTTTTTTTTCTATTATTTTTCAACTCACTAACCAACTTTTTGATAACCGTTATCTTGGCTATGTTTAAAACCAGTCAGCTCCCCACTTTTGAAAAAGCAAAACTCATTCTTTCTCATTAGAAATCAATATTTAAGCTTATTTAATGCAAAAAATCATAATCTATTTGAAAAGATGTCACAACTCCTAATATTTCCCATCTTAAGTAGTCAGTTGTCAGAATAAGATAATGTTTCAAACGTTTGAGTTGCCGCTAACTGATAATCTTTGAAGCTGATATGAGATCTAATTACGGTGAAATCTTATACCTCCATTCATTAGAATATTTATTTTCATTTTAAAACTAGAAGTCCATGAGTCTTATAAAACGAAAACAAATTTTAAACTGAAAAAAAAACAAAAATCTCATAAATTTTTAAACCACATAAAACAAACCCAATCATATGCCTTCACCCACACAATTCCTATTAAGTATCGCCATTTATTTCAAATCCACTGTCAGTACATGTCGATGAATTCATCAAATGAAAAAAATTAGACTCATCAGACCTTTCTTACCTATTGAACTAGCTGGCAATTTGACCCAATATCTATCCAAAATATCGTCCCGACAGGATTAATACATTTCATAAATGTTTGGCATATTGCAACAAGTTAGTGTATACCACTTCACGACGGGGCGATGGCGTAATTGTTAAATGAGCCTGGCCCTGCTAGCCTTGCTGTAACCAGTGACCAGGTTCAAACGCAGAGATACCCAACAACCTATTCATTATGTGCAAAGTATGATGCGTGTGTGAGTGAGCGTACCGCTGATACTTTTGAGGCAAGTGTGAATAATGTCATTTAAACCTTTTCAATATCAAAGAGTCCTCAATGAAACACTTAATACTGTGCTCAACACGAATACATCAACACACACATCCCCGTCCTTATCAGGCTTCATTATGTTATTTTTTTCAAATTATATTCAAAATTCTAAACTTTTTTGAAATTGCCTTCAAATGCCTTCAAATATTCATACCATTCAAGCACATCATACAGCATTAAACACTTTTCATGCGCCTCTCAATATATTTTCAGCTAAGAGGAAGTTTTGTTTACAACATACTTCTCATCATGTGTTAGAAGAAAAATTACTATCCACAATTCAGAAAAAGTAAATAAGTTGTACTAAAGTTACGTTACAAGATATTCAAATAATTACTTTTATGACATTACCGAATCCTCCGCGTCCAACATTTTCTAACGTTTCAAAGTCGTCCTGTAAGCGTGAGCCTTATTTAAAATGGTGTATGTTAACATTTCATTAAAAAATTGAAACTAACTCAGAACTTCATTATAATTTTTTACTCACTCGTTTTAATGAATATATTTTTATATTCATTCACAATTTTAAATAAATTAAAAAATTTTCTACTAATTAAGTAGTGAAATCAGTTCAAACATAAAATTTTGACGACAATTAACTATTCATCTTTGTATCACAAACATTCATTTAGTTGAATACAAATTAGTAGTAAACAGGTAACTGAGCGGTACAAAAATCAAATTTAAACGGATGAATATTGTGATGAGCAGCAAAAATGAAGACAACCTGTAGTTTGATCGAACAAATGCACGGGGACATCGTTTAAGATTTCGTTGCACTTACTGTTTTCACTCAGAGACCTGTTGAGAGCAAGTTTATGACAATCAGTCCAAAGAGGTTTAAAAAGAGAGAGTCCAATGTTCAATAAGCTTTATAGAGCTGTTTGAATGAATACTATAAAAGATTAAGAATATAAAATAGGAACGAATGAGTTAAATGTTGAGAAGTGATGAGCTAAGAAAAAAGACCAGGATTGAAATATAGCTGGCTGTTGGTTGGTTTGACTTAGATTAAGACAGTGCCTGCTTCCAACCGTCGGGGTCGAATGATAATTTGCATAAGACCGTCGGGAAGATGATTACAATGTGTAATTGTACAAGTTGCTAAATTGTTTTCATAAAGATAGTGTACTTTAGTTCTAAATTTGTCCAAAGAAACTGGTTCATCTACGAAATTAAATTTGGCTATAATGGCATTCAGCATGCCGCACTTGCCAAAAGTCCATTCGCAGTCAATTTCGAAGATGTTCCTGAAACACAATGGAGAGAGTTTAACGATGCAATCTTCAGTTTCAATTACATAATTGTGAGTCAAATTTAGATGGGTTTGGAGATGACAGCGAAAGTATACTGGTTTGAAATGTTAAAATATAGATTATATAGTAAAAGTGAAAATAGTGAATAGGTTTGAAGTTTGGTATTAATCCTTTGTAAGCTCTCCTCTACGTTGAACTCAGAAGCTAGCGAGTGAAATATTAATGTTTTTTCTATACCTATCTCTTTCCTCCATTACATTCACCACACCATCAGGCGACTCATTCCAAACTTCTGCTGCAGCAACAAAAAGATGTTGATAAAATTCTGTTCTGATTTTTAGTAGCATAGCCTCTGCTCACCAGCAATTAAGAAATTAGACGCAATCAGTTGTTGTAAGTAGTAAGAAAGAGTAGACGTTCGAGTTTGCATGTGGTAGTTACAGTATATATAATTTGAAAGGGGTAGTAAAAGTAAATGAATTTGATAGTATTGAAAATATATGGAAAAAACCAGAATCTCCCATCAGTTAATTTACTTAAATTCATTTTTTACAGCAAACTCGAAAACCCACATAATGCTTTACTTACAGAAACCAAATTACACGCAGTCCAATAAATATATTCTCATTAAAGGTTCACAATCAATCATTCTAAAGTACTAACTGAAACTGAATGGGAAATATTTGCAAGTTGTAAACATGTTAGGAAGAAAACGAAATATTTTGACAAGGTAACGATCAGTTATTATTAACAGGTAACGAATAATCAAGTTGAACCCATTAATAAACACTGAATAACTTACTCTAAACAAATTAATAACCGGCTATAAACATTTTTAATTAATTATGTTTTAGTGAGATTAAGAATTGATTTTTTTTTCAAAATTTCGATATTAAACAGTCTGTATTATAAACAAACAACTTCAATTGACTTGCTAAAATTCTAACGCGAATGTTAGTAACACAATCAAACGTATTGTCAACAATTTTTGAAAAATGACAGAATATAAACCTTGCTCTTGACTTATCAGCTGCTGCCTGATATTCAACTATTTCAACCTGGATTAAACACATTTGCATTTTATTACAGTGTAAGAAACAACTAATTGATTGATATATACTATAAAGTAACATAAATTATTATAACAAATTAAATGTTATTAATAATTAAACATCAATAAATAACCTGTCTTGATTTGCATTTTTTTTCTTTTTTAAAAGCATTAAGTTTTCTTTTTATTTCAAGCTTAATCTGTTCTGCCTAAAAAATGGTTTGTAATTATTATAATTATCACACAGCCAATACGCACAAGTTTGTAAGAATAGCTATGAAGTTTACTCTGTTTGCATGAAACGTTGCAGTTAATCAATTATAAAAGGATTATATGCATTAGGCACGACCGAACCTAAAAAATCAAGAGGTAAATGGAACATTTAATTCGAAATGAATTAACTAGCATCCATCCACAAATATCATGTTTGCATATTCCAATAAAATCGTATTCCAATCATAACTAACTAAAACAGCCAATAACATCTTTGCAACTTGAAACATCATCCAGTCAATACGTATATCTACAAAGATACTTTTGGAGTTTATCATTTAACTAAACCTGTAACCATCATAATTCATCTTTTCATAGATTAAAATATTTAATATCTGTTGTTTGAACCCTATTTCTGTTCACAAGACTTTACAATAGTCTTTCCATTCAAGTACCAAATGTTCTAATCATATATCTTGATTGAACGTATATGGTTCTAATAATTTCAGTTCTAATAATCTCAGTTGCATTCACGGCATATATTGCGGATCTTGTAATTTATACTGTACGCATCGGTAATTACCATAAACTCAGTAACAAATATGTTGTGATATTTATTTGCTTAGCAAATTTTCATTATATTATATATGCAGCAGCACTCAACCACGACGAGGCCCCAGTGCAATTAGTAATGCCGGAATGAGAGAAAAAATAGTAGAAATGAAATGTTTTAAATGTAGTTCACAAAAAATTTCAAATTTTGAAAAATGTCTTTTAAGGAGCTTGGCCGCTCCTATAATATAACGTCTAAACCATAAATAATCAACAAGAAATGCAGTTTAAATTTATTATATACTCTACCATGTGAACTTCATTGTGACATTTCTCTTGATCTTGGCGATTCTTCTCCTCTTCTTCCTTTTGCTTACTTTTCATCATTTCTTCATAACAAGATTCTTTAGGAGGTTTATTGTTTGCGTGCAAATAACTTCTAATGCAGTTGCACAGGTCATGTATCATTACCTGATCAACAAAATATTTATATTATTATATGAGGATAAAGAACTTAAGTTAAAACATCTTAAGCAAACATTTCATAAATTCACGAATAATATAAAATTGATCGTTTAGGCTTAATTCATGTGATCAAAAAAATTTTAAAATGAAAATGTTAATAAGGATGTGGATGAAGATATAGACTAATTGAAAAATGCATATTAAAACGAACAAAATATATGTCCACACCTCACCAACAAGACTGTCAGCTAAACTGGAAAGATCGTTATGAAGTTCCCTAACTTTAGAATCATCAAGGCCACAAGCATTTTTCAACTCCATGACTGGCTTTCTGGCATTTATTAAACGATTGATGAGAATTTACAAACAAAACAAAGGCAACTTGATTTGATAAGAATGAAACAATAAACCAACACGTTTGGATAGTTAGTGGAGCATTTAATATATAAATCAATGCCAACAAAACTTGTGCCTCGTGATTCGCCGTCAAGTGGAGAAAGGGATATTTGAAATTCCAAACCAACAAATGCCTACAAATAATTAAAAATCAAAAACTTGAAAACAATTGCAATGAAAGCAATTAGAAAAAAGTCCTTACATTCCATGCTGGTTTTTTTCTTAGGTCCACAATTTTGCAGTCCCAGTAGATGGCCTTCAGAGCTTCGTATTCATCAATTTGCTTCTCTTTACATTCTTCCAGAGATAATTTACACTTGAACGTTTGCATTTCTAAAATTTTTAAAATGTCAGTAGAGAATAGAAATAAAAAGCCTGTTAAAAATTAATTTAAAAAATTAACTATATGAAACAAAATTTTAAATTAAACTAAAAATTTAGTAATAAACTAATAAACAGCTCAAGCAGCTATGGGTAACTTTTATAAAAAAATGTTATTGATATGCGAATGGTGTGTGAAGAAGCAGTTACATCATCGTCTCCATTCATCAGGTGGCAGGGTTTTACGTCTGACCGGCAAAGTCATATGCGAATACGCGGGTAATATGAGAAAGTGCAACAACAGCCAATGACAGAGCTAAAGAAAATAAAATAGCAACAACCAATCACAGTCAACGGCATAAATACGGCTGGAACAATCTAAAATGGGGTATAATTGATCTAAGAATTGAGAGAAGTCGTTGTTGCACTGAAAAAGAAAAAATATTCATAAAAAAAAATTCATCATTTGATGTTGTTCGCAGTTGATTATAATTGGTCGGTCATAATTTAACATGACAGTAGCTCGTGGTACTTTGTTGTCAAGCAACAAACTTTCTACATTCAACAGTGTTATCAACCAACCGTTTCCTACAAACAAATGTGTTGTGTGCAACACGTACTCTGACAATGACAATTGAGAAATACACCCAAACGCTTGATATTTAAATCTTCATTCATTTTATTCATTTTTTTGAATTAATAAAAAGTTCTGTTTAAAATTAAAAGTTTTTGGTTTGTCAAAATTTTTACAGATAAGAACCCTTACAATCAGGTGTATGGGGAAGTTTTTTGTCACATCATGCGGAAGGAAAGAATGGAAAATATAACAACTACTGGAAAAATTGCAGGGATAAGAGATTGCGGTCAACAACGAATAACATTCGTGAAGTCCTTGTGTCACTTGTTGAATATCACATTTCAACTACTGCAAAGTGTTAAAGATCGGGTTTTGTGGAGGTCGATGGTCGCTAATACTCTGAAAGGATAAGGCACAAGAAAGAAGGAAAGAAAGATAATGTTGAAAAAATCTTCCAAAAAATTTTGAACAAACATTTGTAAAAAGTGAATGAAAAAATTTGCTAATTACTTATTATTATGGACAAATTAAGGGTTAAGGATCAAGAATTCATTCAAGTTGGATATTATTTCAGATAAAGTAGAATTTAATCATGATTTGACTCCAAATCAGAGATTGGAATTAAAAAAATTGATTGATGAGGCAAAGATTAAAGAAGATTACGGTGATGGTTTTTTATTCTGGGTTCATGGTTCATTTGGAAAGTGGAAAGTTGTCAGGTTCACAAATTAGTTGATATTAAACTACTTAATTTTGATTTTGACAAAAACTTGGCATGGGTTTCGTAATGATATTTTATTATGTTGGCGCTGCCTTGTGGTTATTATTTTGTTGTTTATGTAAGACCTCATTTATTAATTTTTTTTAGGAATAATTTTTATTTCAAGCAAATTGATCTACCTGCGCTGACTACTTTAGAAGCTATAGCCCTTAAATAAAAGATTAATAAATTTTATGTTGTTTTATTAAGTCTTGTCCCTATATCCACTACAGTTCTTACATTTGAACTTGATGTTTTAAAAATAAAAATAATGAATGTTGTTTGCTCTAATATTATTGTTGCTGTGGTGATTTTCTCTCTCTCCTCTCTCTCTCTCTCTCTCTCTCTCTCTCTCTCTCTCTCTCTAATATTATTGTTGCTGTGGTGATTTTTTCTCTCTCTCTCTCTCTCTCTCTCTCTTTCTCTCTTTGCTTGACACTTAATTTTTTAATTTAGTTATTTAGTTTACGTGGTCAATAGAATTAATGAGCCAGCTCTTGAACTAGAATTAGATAGTAGTTGAATTTAGTTGTTACAACCAATAACTTTCCTGCTTATGATTATATATTTCCTTATGGTGTTTTTTTATGCCCTTGCTCAAGTTGAACAAGATGAGATCAAGCTACAGTGGAGAGTTACTTCAACCGTCTGTTAAATGAAACAAATCCCATCAATGTCAACTTTGACGCACCACCCATCGAAGGTCCGATTCCAGACATCACTGCAGAGGTGCTTACAGAAGCTCTGAAAGCTATGAAGGATGGAAGTACCTGGCACACGTCCCAAAGGCCGTCCAAAAAAGTCCTGGTCGCAAACAATCGAGCAAGACATGAAAGCTTTAAATTTAAATGAAATGGATACAATTGATCGTCTAATTTGGCGCAAAAAGTTGATGGCAAAGAAAACAACGTCCTACCTCGGGAAACTGGGTCTCTGGACGCTAAACGAAGATTGATTGATTGACTATGGCGTTTTTTTCCGATCACTCTTTGATTAAAGTTTGTTTGCCAGTTAAGCATTCATGTCTTGTTTTTTCTAGGAAAGTTGTTTGATTTTAGGAGCTTATGGATTTTGATCATTTAATTCATTAGTTCTTGAATCTCCTATTAGAAATCTATAACATAACATAAATTGAGAATATTAAATGTTCTCTTGCCCCCAAAAAAACACAACATAATTGAATAAAGTAAATAAATAGATAATTAAATAAATGAATAAATAAATGAATAAATAACGTAAAAAATGAAACTAGATGCTTACATACACATAGATCTATATCTATATCAAAAATCTACATCAATCTACATCAAAATATATTTCCAACACAAGTGGTGTAGCTTCCAATGATACTGAGATAGCAATTGCACCAAGTTGGTTTTTAAACTTGGGCTACTGATGAGTCCCATAAGGGAAGAAACACCTCTAACCTAGAATAAGTTAGTTGTTCATAGTAATGCATCTTTGGTTGTGGTGAAAGATGGTGAACTTTATGTACTAGTAATGGCCATCCATACTTGCGGGAGCAGGTCGGAAATTTTCACCATATATATATATTCTATAATTTTAATTAGTATAAAATAATAACTAATAATTTTTCTATATTATATTTTTAAAAATATTATGTCCTTATCACATAATATATGATAAGAACATAATATAATATATTTGGTAATAATATATATAATATAATATAATATAAATAATATAATATAATATATTTAGCATATGGTGGAGTAACAAAACAATGCTGGACAGAAGAATACTTTTGAGTCTACCGAGTAATTAAGATGTGAGATAAGTATTAACTAAAAATATAAATAAATCTAAAAGTGAACTTATATAAATAATCAAAACATGGATCCATTTATATATATATATATATATATATATATATATATATATATATATATATATATCTACTTTCACGGCTTTATGCGTAAATGTTTATACATGGTAGATATGAAAATATGCTTCTTTCTTCAACATTAGTACTTGGTAGATATGAGAATATACTTTTTTGTATCTTTCTTTAACATTAGTAGACATTAAAATATATTTTTAATGCCTTTCTGAACATTGTAAGCTGCGAAAATACACTTTCTCACAATACTAATAGGCATAACCATAAAACTTATCTTTTATGTATCTTTAATATTGGTTGTCATGAAAATATATTATGCACTCTTTTAACATTGGTAGGTATGAAACCACACATTGGTTGGCATAAAACCATACATTTAAGCATGGTTGGAAAGATACAACACTTTTATGTACTTAACACATTGGTAAGCATAAAACTATTTTTTTATGCAAGCAAGGTAGGCATGGAATTATCCTTTTATGTATGGTAGGTAGGTGTTAGAGAGTTAGTATACTTTAAATAAAAGCATTATTATACATGCATTCTAGGCATTAAAGTACACTAAACATGACTCTAAAAACTCTAACTGTTAACTTCTTATACCTACATGCATTAAAAGATACTAATACTTTTATATAAACAATAGACATGATAAAAGCGTACTTTAAACACCTTAGGCTATACTTTTATAAATGATAGCCATGAAATAGAACCATCCATATTTATGCACCTTGAATTTTAAACATTAGTAAACATGACTTGAAACTATCTCTATACTTATACACTTTAAACTTTAAAGCTTGAATATTGGTAGACATGAATAGAAACTATCTCGATAACTATTCTTTTATAATTTTATGTATAATTGAAATTTAAAAAAATTGAAATTTAAAAATTTAGAATTCGACATTTTAAATTTACATTTACTTTATTTTATTTGTATTAATCATGTTGATATTTATTTTTTATATTTTCATTATTCATCTCTCTAAGGCTCTCTAAGCCCAAAGGAACACAACTAAGTTTATTTATTTATATTATTATAATTATATATACTACTCTCCTCAACCCTTATGTTAAAAAATATCACATAATAATTAATTGCATGGTAGGCAGAAAAAAGTACATCCTTTTGTACCCAACTTTGTAATTTTTGAAGATTAAATAAAAATATTTATCAATTAACAATTAATATTTATAAAAATAACCTTTTATAACTATTTTTTCAACGACAGTACTACTAAAGTACTAAAAGTTATACATAATTAGTGTAATACTAAAATAATCGTATAAAACACATTTGCGAACACGTATAAAAAAAAATTCATAATTGACACGACCAAGATACGTCTGAAAAATCAGCTGAATTTTTAAAAGATTGCATAAAAAAAACCATCCTTAATTACACATAGCCAAGAAAGCCAAGACGTTTTTTCAAAACAAAAATACTTTATTCTTCTATCATGGTAGCAGAAGAGTTTATAAAGAGAAAACTACGTTAGGACAATACTAATATTATATATACCGTAGCCAGAAGACCAGAGTAAAGACCCTTTAAGTATTTGTGTCTGACATCAATTACTCATAACTAATGTTGGGCTACTCGGGCTCCTATAAGTACCGAACCTGAACCTTTGCGACTTCAAAGTACCGGTACTGTACTGTTTGAATTTTTAAAAGGATTTCTGTGCCCAGGTTTCAGTACTATCTTTGGAACGGAAACCGAAATATTGGGGTTCCAAAAAGGGTTTTTTCGCGACATTTTAAATTTTAATCTCATGTACAGAACCGGTTGAATTTTTGAGAGATTTCAAGTACCGGTAAAGTACAGTCATATAATTAGAATAAAACGGTTTGTTTAAAAACGGTTCTCAGGAACCGGAACCTACATCACTACTGAAAACATCTCTAATTTCTTATTTGCTTTTTTACTTGGTAGAATACACTACATATCTTGACTCAAAACGTTCTACAACTTTAACAATGAACTCCAATGTCGTTCAAGGTTCCGTTATTGGTCACTCTGCTTTCATCATCAAAGTGTAGGGATCAAACATTTATTTATTAACTATCTCATATATTAATTATTATTAAAAATTATTACAATTTTCAATGTTACCTAATTTATGTCTTTGCTTCTCTCTCGATTTTGTTTACATCCGTCAGATTCAAATTTATTTTAAAAGGTTCTTTTTCTTGGAATTGCTCTGGTTTGGTTTGTTTGAACGTTGATAATAACTCTGCTTTTAGAGCGTCGTAATTATTATCGTAATTCTGGTCCTGGTTATGACATTAAACTGACCCTCACTGCCTTGTGAGTGATGTTGGATCATCAAAGGCTAGGCCCACCGCTTATAACTGTGGTTGCGTAAGGAAGGGCGTCCTGCGTAAAAACTAGCCAAAAAATAATACTTATGATGACGGAAATAACAATGGCCCTCAGTATCCGGCAGAAGAGGGTGCGAAGAATCTCCGGAGACCCAGTCCATGGGGTTGTGGTGCAAAGCCCTGTGGATGGTCTGGCTACTGGCACCCCACTCTATAGTGTGGCGGTGCCAGTAGCCAGATGGAAGGACTACTTGTAGACCAAGGGGTTGGAGGTTTGGTACCTGAAATGTAGGCACGTTGACAGGAAGAAGTTTGGAAGTGGTGGAGGAGCTGCCGAGGAAAATGGTTGACGTGGCTGCATTACAGGAGATCAGATGGAAGAGTGAGGGTACAAGGTTTGTGGGGGCTAAAGGTGGAAGGTATAAATTGTGGTGGAAGGGGGATGATGGTACGGGAGGAGTTGGTGTGATGGTAAGAGAAGAGTTGGTGGAGAAGGTGTTGGAAGTGAGGCGGAGAAGCAATGGTGTAATTGTGGTGGTGATGGTGTTTGGAAAAGTAATAGTGAGGGTGATATCAGGATATGCTCCGCAACAAAGTAGGAAGGAAGAGGAGAAGGATAGGTTTTATGATGATGTTTCTGACGAGATTGGGCAAGCGGGGTTGGATGAGTTTGTGGTGTTGGGTAATTTGAATGGTCATGTGGGGGCGGATGCAGACGGATATGAAGGTGTACATGGGGGATGGAGATATGGTATACGGAATGAGGAAGGGCGCAGAGTGTTGGAGTTGGCGGATGCACATAGCATGGTGGTGGGAAATACCTGGTTTACAAGGGAACCAGCGCGATTGATTACATATAAGTCAGGGGAGCATAGGTCAATGATAGACTATATATTGGCAAGAGCCAAACATAGAAAGTATGTGAAGAATGTGAAGGCGATACCTGGTATGCTGCAGCATAGTATGATTGTGATGGATGTGACATCAAAAGAAATGGGGAGGAGGAAGAAGGATAAGTTTGTGGCAAAGAGAAAGACATGGAAGTTGCAGGATGCAAAGGTGAGGAAAGCATTTGAAGTGAAGGTGGCTGAAAATTGGGAGAGTGGTAAGGATGGAGATGTTTGGGAGAGATACAGGGACTGTGTGTTGGTTACGGCAGATAAAGTATGTGGATGGACGAAAGGAAAGTGTAGGCATGGTGAGAAGTGGTGGTGGGATGAAGATATAAGAAGGGTCTTGGAGGTCAAGAAGGAAAGGTTTAGGGTATGGAGAAGGGACATGACGGAGGAAGCGGAGTCTGAGTATAGGAAGGCTAAGAAGGCTGCAAAACAGGCAGTAGCAACTGCAATGACAAAAGCATCAGACAGGTTAATGAAGGAAATGGAATTTGATGTGAGTTTGAGGAAAATGTTCAAAGTAGCAAAGCAGTCAATGAGGGATAGGAAAGATGTTATATAGGGAATGGATGTGTTTGGGATGGATCTGGCAAGTTGTGCATAGATGAGGAGGAAAAAGCTCAGGTGTGGAAAGCTCATATGGAAAGGTTGATAAATGAAGAGAATGAGTGAGATGGAAATGTGGAATCCGCGGTCACACACGGACCTATAGAGAAGGTGACGATGGAGGAAGTAGAGAAAGCAGTTAGAGAAATGAAACTAGGTAAGGCGACAGGGGTTTCGGAAGTGGCGGCAGAACATATAAAAGCGAGTGGGGTGATAGGAATTGAAGTTATGATGAGAATTGCTAGCAGTATGTTTGATGATGAAGGTATACCTGAGGATTGGCGACACAGTGTGTTGGTGCCATTGTATAAGGGCAAAGGAGATGTGAGAGATTGTGGGTCATATAGGGGTGTGAAATTGCTAGAGCACGGAATGAAGGTAGTGGAGAGGGTGCTTGAGAGGAGGTTGAGAAATATGGTGACAGTTAATGAAATGCAGTGTGCGTTTATGCCTGGTAGGGGAACGGTGGATGCGTGTTCATGGTGAGAATGTTGCAGGAGAATTATAGAAAGAAGAAACGAAGATTGTACATGTGTTTTGTGGATCTAGAAAAGGCTTTTGATCGAGTACCGAGGAAGGTCATTAAATGGGCGCTGAGGTAGAAAGGAGTGAATGAGAGACTTGTTAAAGCTGTGATGCAGCTGTATGAAGGGGCAAAGACAAAGGTGAGGGTTGGAAGGAGGATGTCGGACGCTTTTAGTGTTAAGGTAGGAGTGCATCAAGGATCAGTGTTATCACCGTTTCTGTTTGCAATTGTGATGGATGTTGTGTGTGGAAACATAATGGAGGGGTTGTTATTTGAGATTTTGTATGCAGATGATTTAGTCTTGATGGCTGATAGCATGAAAGAATTGCAGTTAAAATTTGACAGATGGAAAAGTGTTATTGAAAAGATAGGGTTAAAAGTTAATATTGGTAAGACGAAGGTAATGGTGAGTGGGGAAGGTAGGGAGCGAGTGATAAGTAAAATAGACCCTTGTGGGGTATGTGACAGGAGAGTGAAGGCTAACTCGGTATTGTGTACAGGATGTCAGAAATGGGTGCATAAGAGATGTAGTGGTGTGAGGGGGGCACTGAAAAAGGTGGAAGGCACGTTCAAATGTAAGAAATGTGTTCATGGTGTGATTAATAGGACGGACGCAAGGACGGGTTTGAGTGGTGGTATTGAAAGAGTGGAAAGCTTTGTTTACTTAGGGGATAAGCTGAACGCGGATGGAGGATGTTTGAGCGCAGTTACGGCTAGAGTTCGTGTGGGATGGATGAAATTTAGGGAACTGGGTGGGGTATTTTGTGGAAAGAAATGGTCAGTGAAGATGAAAGGGAGGGTATATAAAGCATGTGTGAGAGCAGCGAACTTGGGTGTTGAGGAGAAAGGAGAAAAGTGTACTGCAGAGGGCTGAAAAAGCTATGCTGAGAATGATGTGTGGAGTTAAAGTGAAGGATAGGAGGAGTAGTACAGAGCTGATGTCAATGATGAGACTGAATGAGGACATTGTGACATTGATAAGGAGATCGAGATTGCGGTGGTATGGACATGTGTTGAAAAGGGATGAAAGGGTCGGGATTAGGCGAGCGTTGGAGTTCGAGGTTGAAGGAGTGGTAGGAAGGGGTCGTCCGCAATTGGGATGGAGAGAGCAGGTGGAGAAGGACAGGGTGAAAGCGGAGTTGCGTGATACTGAGGCGAGTGACAGATGTGGATGGTGTCGAGAGGTATTTCGGTTTCATCATAGGTAGCCAAACGGCAACCCCCGATCTCGGGAAAAATGTCGTCTAAACGTGTGTTGTTGTTGTTTAGAGCGTCGAAATTTGTTCCTCTTTGCACTTTAATGACAAATTTGAAACTATATCCAACGGCAGGGAAATTATTACGTGATAGAATCTTGTTGTTTTACACATCGCGTTTCTCAATTGAAATTGCATTTCGGAATTCTCGAACCAATGTGTTGACGCTGTTGTCTTGAAAAGAGGTAATATGGCGATCGGGTCATCATTTGGTTGGAACATTTTGTTTTTGTTTTGATCTTACTACGTGAATCTTCGTATTTCTTTTTACGTCGGATTTTCGTTCAAAATCACCAAACGGCAACCCCCGATCTCGGGAAAAATGTCGTCAAAACGTGTGTTGTTGTTGTTTAGAGCGTCGAAATTTGTTCCTCTTTGCACTTTTAATGACAAATTTGAAACTATATCCAACGGCAGGGAAATTATTACGTGATAGAATCTTGTTGTTTTACACATCGCGTTTCTCAATTGAAATTGCATTTCGGAATTCTCGAACCAATGTGTTGACGCTGTTGTCTTGAAAAGAGGTAATATGGCGATCGGGTCATCATTTGGTTGGAACATTTTGTTTTCGTTTTGATCTTACGAAGATCCACGTAGTGGATCTTCGTATTTCTTTTTACGTCGGATTTTCGTTCAAAATCACGTGGGATTTTCGTTCAGATCACGTCGGGTTTTTGTTCAGATCACGTCGGGTTGTTAGTACGAACTTATGCTACTAACAAGACACCTTGTTGTGAGTTAAAATAAATAAAACCAACACAATTCAGGCGTAATAAAATATTATCTTTATTCCCACGTGAATCTCGAACCGTTTCATTTTACAAGCTATCAGGAAAAAGGGAAGAAGTCGAGAGAGAAGCAAAGACATAAAAATTAACATAGATTAGGTAACATTGAAAATTGTAATAATCGTTAATAATAATTAATATATGAGATAGTTAATAAATAAATGTTTGATCCCTACAAAAGCATACATTATACAGCCAACACACCACTTGAACAAAATCATAAAATACGCAGACGACATATACATACCTCATAATTCCTTCATCAAATACCAACACCCCTCAATCTGAGTTGGAGTCACTTCTTACCTGGTCCAGGCAGAGCAATCATTAACTTAATTTAAATAAGTCATTCGAACTAATCATTCATAACATTCACAACAAAATTATTCCACCTATCCTTCAATCGTCCGCACAGGTCATCTTAAAAATTCTAGGCATTACTTTCACCTCTACACTCAATATTACCTTGTACACCAATCACACCAATGAAGGCCTACATACACTGCGCGCACTCTACGCAGAAAATATTCAATTGAAATTCAAAATAAGTAATTAAAATGCTCGCATTAATTTTATAACTAGCAATTTAATTAAGGACTATCAAATTTAAATGATAACAGTAGTAATTAATAGTAATATTAGGTGAACTCTCTTCAGTTACTATGTAGCAGATTGAATTAAATACAAGATATTTAATTTGGTGTAGTCTTTTGTAAAACGTACGTAATTGGTGTCGGTAATTTTACTGTAGTTTGAAAATCTGAAGACATAACAACCGGTGTTTCTACCCACTTTCAATGCATCTGACCAGCCGAAATTTTCAGTGTTTTGGGATAAGCTATCTAACCACTAATTAACAATTTAATTAATTAACTAAATTTAATTTAAATTTAATTCAATAACCAACTTCCAGATCTAGTCGCTGTAATAAAACTTTATAAAGAAAAGTGAAAGTTTGGCTATTTTTACAAAAACGTTCTGGGCATAAATTTCCAAATTCAGATGCAAACGAATAAAATTTCCCATGAACAATGAAAAATTTGATCGCCAATTTAATTGAAATAATGAAATAAATTAATAATTTCCTGAATAATTAAGTGTAGATAATAAAATGTAACAATAAATTTCAACAAAAAATAATTATTACAAAAAGGTTTTTACATTTTTTACGAGTGTAATTTTTTACTTTGCCCTTTGGCGCATATCCGTAATCATTGGTTCAGTTCCAACGCTTTCATTAAAGCGTCTTTTAAAATGAAACGCTATTCAAAACAAAATTTAAGCATTTTACTGCAGAGGGCTGAAAGAGCTATGGTGAGGATGATGTGTGGGGTTAAAGTGAAGGATGGGAGGATTAGTACAGAGCCGATGTCAATGATGGGACTGAATGAGGACATTGTGACTGATAAGGAGATCGAGATTGCGGTGGTATGGACATGTGTTGAGAAGGGATGGAAGGGTCGGGATTAGGCGAGCGTTGGAGTTCGAGGTTGAAGGAGTAATAGGAAGGGGTCGTCAGCGATTGGGATGGAGAGAGCAGGTGGAAAAGGACAGAGTGAAAGCGGGGTTGCGTGATACTGAGGCGAGTGACAGTGACGTCGAGGGGTATTTCGGTTTCATTATAGGTAGCCAAACGGCAACCCCCGATCTCGGGGAAAATGTCGTCTAAACGTGTGTTGTTGTTTAGCACTTGCTCAGTGTAGCTAGTGGAGTGATTAGTGACCTTGGAAAAACTTCAATAAAATGTTTTAAGGTTTTTTCTCTTGAAAAAATTAACTAATTAAAGAATGTAATCTAATCTCTCGTATTAAGTTTTTCTCGCCCATCTTATGAAATAACGCTCCTACATGCTCCTCCTAACCGATGTATTTTCATTCATGTCAATCTTCGGTCCAACAATTTTTTAATGTAATGAGTCTTTCGTTTAAGCGTTTAGAACTGTTAACTCCAGTCAATTAAAATACTTGCAGCTACATTAGTTTATTATTCAACTCGGTCATCAACACATACGGTACGTATATACAAATAGTTATTTACACACACATACATATATATACACACAAGTACATGTTTACTTCTTTATGCTTGTGAATAATAAAATAAAATGTATGTATATATATATATATATATATATATATAATTATTGATGAAAATCACAGCATTCTCCGCATTAGTAGCTTACTGTTTAATTTTTCGATTTCGATTAACAGGAGGTGCTGTGATTTTTATCAATAATTGCATTTCTGACAGTCTTACTCCCGCTACATATATATATTTCAACAAATAAAGATATATATATATATATTTCAACAAAATAAAGTTAATGAAAAAATTTTCAATGTTGATGACTGGCATAGTTTGCGTATGATTGTTGAATGTTCAACCACGGATTAGATAGAGCTGCAGAATCCATCATTGGCGTACGTGATATCTGTTGCTGCTGCTGATGATGTTGTTGCTGAAGCTGATGATGTTGACGCTGCTGACCTGAAAGGAATTTTCATATGATTACATTCACAAATCTTAAAAAAGAAACGATTTTACAAACAACAACATTGCTATATATATATGCTATTATATTTATGTATATATCTATGTGTGCGCGCGTTCACACTTTCAACTTTCTTTGTTCACATGTGAGGATGTATGTAAGTGCATATTTATTAATCGCTGAACCAGTGAACGTATTGTATATATGCCAGAAGATTTGAAGCGAGAAGAACGATTGAACCGTATTAAGTACCATCTGACTGATGCTACCCTCTTGGTCACTTTTAAATGACCTGACAACTATCAGCATTGACACCAAGCGCTGCCAAATCAACAACGGATTTATAAAAAGTAAAAACAAAAATTTCAAACCTGAATTTTGATCTCCGAAATGTTCTTTGAACCATATGATTAAATTGGTGAGACTGTCGAACACCTGCCCTCTGAATCTCAGACCATCGGGAGTGGTTGTCACAAACTCATGTCTAGCAGTTGT